TGGCTGCACGTTGAAAAATCTCCAAGTTGTTTCGCCTGACTGTCAATATTCATTGCTAGTGGGGACATGAAGACATGGTCCTTGCCCTGAAAGAGTGTAATTTTCCACAGAAGGTGAGGCATATTACACTAAAGTAGCTAAATGTCAAATGGTCTTTAGAAGGGGAACAGAATTCGTGCTCTGAGGGGAAAGAAGGAAGGAGGCAGAGTTTCCCCTAGAGGTGAATCAAGGTCACCCTGGTCTTTTCCCATTATGTCATTCCAGGTGCGTCTTCCATTCTCCCCTGCACCTGTCCTCTCTGGTCTGTCCACACTGGTCTCATCGTTGCCTGAAAATGACTCCCCTTTCCCACCTCTGTGTCTCGGCAGACTCCCTCTGCCTGGCATACAGGCCCTCCATTTCTGCCCGTTAGAATCCTACCATCTTTCAGTATTCAGCCCAGTGCAAGTGCTTTATTGAGCCCCCTGCCCAGATGGGATCCTCCCGAGGCACATTACCTTTCTGATGGCCTTTGTACATTTCACCGCATACAGTACCTACCGTGTCTCATGCTTTATTGCCCCCACCAGCCTGGGAACAGAGATGGGACACTGGGAGCCTTAGTTGTGGGTCTAGCCCGCAGATGCATTTCATTAGTTCTCATTCTTTTTTAAAAATCACAATTCATTTAGTCGAAGAATCACAACCAAATATTAAACATACAGAAAAAGTACGGAATATGCTGTAATGCCCACCCAGGACCAAGAAGGAACAGATTGCCTCTAACGCCTCGCTGCCCGCTTTTTGAGAACTAAAATACTACGCGCACGGTTTCGGCACTAGCCCACGCGTTCCCGGAGCTGGTCTGCACACTGTTTTCAAAATTTAGAATTAGGTGCCAATATTTAGAAATCAAGAGATTTCATGTAACGATTGGGAAGGTTTGCTTTCCTCGAAGAGTCAGAAGATCTGGGAACTTGGAGTATGTCCCAGGCCCGAATCAGCTGCTGCCTCCTGGAAGCAGAGCGTGGCCTCCTGCACACCACATTCCCACCCCACTCCACCCCCCCATGCCCTGGGGTCTCTGGGCTCCAACCTGCTTCACTTACAATGCGGGTGCTGGCTCCTGCAGACATGTAGTCTGATGTCTTCACGTGGACTCCTGGAAGTCACAATGCTTTTTTTTTTTATTACTATCACTGGAACTGAACCACTAGCGAGCTGGGTGACCTCGAGCAAATTGCGTACCTCTCTGCTTCCATTTCCTCCTGTGTCAAATTAGGGTAGCAAGAGCGCCTGCTTTTGAGTGTTGTTTGAGGGTTATTATATAAAACGTGTAAAGCAATCCCTGGCACCTGATTCTTCTGGCTAGCAGTCCACGATCTTTTGTCCAAAATCCTAGGGGCTGGATGTGTGTTGAAATTCAGATTTCTTTTAGATTTTAATAAGGTAATAAAGCAATATCATAATTACATAGACCCCCAAGAGGTTCTGGGCCAGCACCTTGTAACTGAACGCGCTGAAGTATCTTTGGGGGAAAAAAAAGCACAGATATTCACAAGACATGTGATACAGACTTGCCTCACAATCCTCACAGGAGCTTCCCGGGTATAATCTGGATCTGGTTCCTACCCTCAGAGGAACAGATAAAGAGGCCTTCGCTGGGTTCAGTCATGTATACTGTGCAGGTGTTCTCAACACCACATCATTATCTCAAGGCCATGTCCTTGGAGCAGCCTCTGGAAGCAGGGAAGGCGAGAAGAGCCCACATTCCAAGGGCAGGGGAGGGGCAGAGAGAGAGGGAGAGACAAAATCTCGGGCAGGCTCTGTGCTCTCAGAGCAGAGCCTGACGCGGGACCAGATCCCATGAACTGTGAGATCACGACCTGAACCGGAAACCAAGAGCTGGAGGCTCAACCGACTGAGCCATCCAGGGGACCTCAAAATTTATTTTGAGAGAGAGCAAGAGTGAGAGCATAGAGGGAGGGGCAGAGACAGAGGGAGAGAGAGAATCTCAAGCAGGCTCCGTGCTGTCAGCACAGAGCCCGATGTGGGGCTCTACCCCACAAACCGTGAGATCGTGGCCGGAGCTGAAATCAAGAGTCAGACACTTAACCGACTGAGCCCCCCAGGCGCCCCGGCAGGCATGTCTTTTCGAAGACCCCCTCTAATAGCTTTGTCCATTTCTGGGTGGGCCGGCCTGCCTGGAGCAGTTAGCATGTCAGGGATGGGGAGCCCTGTCCTAATCCAGAGCTGCCCTGCCCTCGCCCCAGTCTCCAGATCTTCCTTGGATATTTGACTTATACTAATGAGAGGAGAAACTGTGAGGTCAGTTTTTGTTATTGTTCTTAGTCTGCTTGTTAATAAAGTAATTGAGAACTTTGTACTTGGGGTGAAACACAGAATGTCTACGTTTCTAAAATTTTTTTTAATGCTTTTTTATTTTTGAGAGAGAGACAGGGAGAGCACGAGCAGGGGAGGGGCAGAGAGAGAGAGAGAGACACAGAATCCGAAGCAGGCTCCAGGCTCTGTGCTGACGTGGGGCTCGAACCCACGCAACGCAAGATCGTCACCTGAGCCGAAGTTGGATGCTCAACTGACTGAGCCACCCAGGCGCCCCGAGAATGTCTACATTTCCAAAGCAGCTGGCTGAGGTGGCCTTCCTGTCCAGCTCACCCCCTCTCACCTCTTCAGGCCCCCTGCCACATGTCTGCTGGCCTTCCACCAGGCCATTCACCCACCTGCTCGCTCCACCTCTACCCTGAGGCCAACCTTATCAAGTTCACTGTCACATCTGACGCCCTAAGCCATCTAATCTCCCTGGGGTAAACCCTTCTCCACCTGGCAGGCCAGCCTCCTCACTCCCCTTCATCCTCCTCCCCACCCCACCTCCACACTTCACTGTCCTTCCTTAGCACCACTGCTCAGGCTCCTCCCCTGCCTGGACCACCTCACTCTCCTACCCAAGTCCCATCTAGCCTTCGAGGCCTAGCTGAGCCCCCCCCCCCCCCTGCTGTGGGGAGGGGGACTTTCCCAATAACTTGAGATGAGCTCTGGTCCCTGGACTCACATACACTCAGCGCTTAACCCGGTGGTTGTACATGCACCTGCACCTTCCTTCACTGTTCACCATACTCTGTGCTGCATCCAGGTGGGGGGCGGGGGTGGCAGGAAAGGGAAGAGGGGAGGAGGGAGTGGAGAGGGAAGGGAGAGGAGGGGTGGGGAAGGGGAGAGACCTAAAGTTTGTGCATTAGGTCTAAAGGCCGGGAGCCCTCAGTTCTGTGCCCAGTATAAAAATAGCCAACTTCACGGGTCCAAACATTTGAGGCTTTTATGTGTACTCAGCTGGGACCACCAATGGGTCAGAGCCCCTCTCCTCTGCCTCTGCTTACCTTGCGCCCCCCCCCCCCCCCCCCCGCCTTGCCCTTTGGCCACAATGCCTCTTCCCTTCCCTGTGAGAATTGCCCTGGTGGGTTCATAGATGTGGGATTTCACTAGGATAAAAACTCACCTGGGGAACCCTTGTCCCAGATCCCACCAACCTTCTTTCTTTCCTTCACTTGGGGACACTCATATAAAGGTGTGTGCACCTTATAAGAGCTTGGACAGGTGCTGTCCCTTGTGTTCTGGACAGTGTAGGAAGGCAGGATGGAGTGTTCCATTTCTCACCTAAACCCACTGCATCTCCGCGTGCCTCAGCCCCGTGCTGATCCTCTGGCCCTTGGGATTTTGAAGGTGATAGAAACCTGTACCCCAGCCAGAATGTTTTTTTCCCCTTTCTCCTTAGAATGAAAGCATAAGCTATCTCCCTTGTGGTAGTCAAATTCAACTGAAATCATAATCTGTACATTCTCTGGGTAAGAAAGGAGCCACTGGATGTTGGGTGCGACTCTTGCCGTGGCTCTGGTTCATAAAGACAGGCAACAGCCTGGTCTGGAGAGAGGCAGCTGTCACCACCCACACTCCAAGCCCCACGGCCACCTCCTCAGCTGCCCCAGGTCATGTGGTCCTCGCCAGTCCTGACGGTGTTTCTTTTGACTATTGGTCCTCTGCTTAGTTCATGACTGTGTCGTCATTCAACTCCCCAAACCTGCCGTGATTGGCCTCCTCTCCTGAGGATAAGGGATGCACAGGCTGGGGCAGGTGAAGGGAAAGGAGAGAGACTTACAGACGTAGAGGGATAAGCTTCCGTCACAGCAGGCAGTGTGAGGGAGAGCCAGGGAGAGGGAGAAAGGAGTTCATTCTGGAGGTGTGGGGCGGTCGACCTCTACCTCTTGGGCTGGGTAGGAGATGAAGTTTTAGGGGAGTTCATCATATCTGTTCCCTTTACTTTCCCGAGAACCCATGGTGTGGTTTCACTGCATGATTTGAAAGGTTAGATAGCGGCTTTGAATTGCCAGTGTGGCCCACGTACGTCCTGGGGGCTAAGGAAATTGGCATTGGCAGTAGAGGCTGGCCACATCTCAGCTTCTCCTTTCCCTGCCCAGGCCACCTGGCAAGGGCTTGCGAACTCTCAAGATGCCCCTCAAGGGTTCTTCTGGGTCCTAGGGAGTCTCCTGCACAAGCTGGGTGAGAAGGAGGTGGCCCAGAGGAGCCGGGCTCTCCCAAGAAGCACACTCCAGGGCTCTGTTGCACCGCTGACAAACCCCTCTGCGCCACCCCTGTTCGGCTGCAAATTTTAGGCAGTTCAGGCTTCATGAGTCGGTGGACAGGGGCTGTCAAGTCAGTCTGTCTGGGTTAAGTGGCCTGGTCACTTAGCAGTTGGTGGTCATGATGATCGGGTTTCCTTGTCAATAAAAAGAAGTACTAATCCCTACCTCCTAGTTTTCTGGAGAGGGATTAATGCAGTGCTAATATGCCGAAACATACTGGTGCTTAAGTCGATCTTGATTTCCCCCGCTTCCAAACACTTCTGCCCACCTCCGTTCCATGCTACCTTCCTAAAAAGGACGTAGTGCTACCTGGACATGGAAGGGAAAGGAGGAAGGTGTGTGTCCATGTCAACCACAGCGTCCTCCAGATTAGGCATTAAAGCATTTATTACTGTTTTCATTGAGCTGTGTGTAGGAATCGGAATTTTTAAAAGTTAAGAAATGTTTCACACGCAACAAAAGGAAATGGAACCGATAGGCGAAACTATTTAGTGAAACAGGCCCGGATAGCTCAGGATCGGCATCGGAGGCTTTCGTCTGTCCTCTGTAGTGTGGGTAGGACAGAGAGCTTCTGGTTCGGCCAGGGATGGGGAAGGGTTACCATCTTGTAAAGGAAGGTGGCCATCTTGGAAATGGGAGGCAGTAGGACCCAGGCTTGTGCCCTTGTTTCGAAAGACCTCCCTCTACGTCCTTGGCGCCCCCAGATCAGTGAGTCTTTGTTTTTAGGGACTTCTTGTGCTCTTTCACTATGGAGCCAACCCACTCCATGGTCTTTTGCTTTGCTTCCTCCCAGCTGAAGAGTGGCTCATACCCCAGGTCCCGCTGAGCTTTCTTATAGGAGAAGGTAAACACGCTATTTAACAATGTCACCATGTGGCGGTTAAAGGGGGGTTGGTATTTGTAAATCGGACTGAGTAGGAAGCTCACTATTTCCAGCAGGAAGGCAAGCCAGTACTCCAGAAATAGAGGAAGGCTCATTCTGGACTCAAGGGAGAAGCCCCATTCTTTGCTCAAACTGTAATTGAGGTTATCATAGCTTTGGTGAGGTGTGTCATCTGAGATATAATAGAACTGTCCTCCAACTCTGGGGGCCTTCTTGGGGTCCTGTAGGGCCCTCGAGGCCAGAATGTGAGCCCAGGCCACGTTGCCTACATAGACAGGGTTGGCTATGGAGAATTTGCTGCTCTGTTTGATGATCCCATTGTTCCTCAGGGCCTTGTATATATGGTTATAAAGGAATATGCTTCCTTCCCCATAGATATACATGGGCCTTAAGGCACAAGTGTGCAAGGTGCCACCATTTTTAAGAGCCCACCCATTAGCAGCCAGCACAGCTTTCTCCGCAAGTTTTTTGCTGTATGGATACGAAGCGGACCATGTGGATTCGAGATGTTCGTCTTCGTGGCCGTTCTGGATGATCTCCCTGTAGGAGTTGGGCCCAGCCACCTCTATGGTGCTGGTATAGATGAAGATTGGCACACTCGCCTGGACACAGGCTTCCAAAAGGAGCTGGGTACCTGCCCATGGGGAACATGCAGTCAGTGTCAACAAATAACTCACAGGGCCAGCCATGCCCACGGACCATGTCCACCCCCTAACCCACAAGTGAGGTAGTTATTGTAGATCAGGAGTGTACTCCTCTGTGTCTCTGGCTAAGATCTGACTATGCTATAGCCATAGATAAAATGCAAAACTGCAAAAATGAAAACAAACCAACATTTGGGTTCTGGAGAGCAAGAATTTCTAGGCTTTTGGATTTCCTGGACCTGTGTGTGTACTTTTAATTTTGGAAAAGGACAGAGGGTTGCCATTTCATGTTTTGTTGAGTAAAGACATTACAAAAATGATCACTTATCCCTCCCACTTCATTAAAAACAGGTTATTTTAAGTATAACGTTATTAGGAGGCCATACTCTCAGAATATGGACTAGAATTTTACCTAATCCTGACTGAGTAATCCTTACAAAGGCCACTCCTAATTCTGGCTGTGACTTCTTTGACCCAGGTCTGAAAAGCGGACGTGATAAACCTTCCTTCTCCTTGGCATTCCTGAGCCGGCACCGGCTCTCTCTGGGCAGCCTGGTGGAGAACGGGAAAGAGGAGTGTGCCCTCTGCTGGTTAATACCTATACCAGGAGGATCTTGCAGAATCCCTCTGGCTGGGGGAGGTGACGCAGGCATCATTCCCATAAGGAAGGAATTTCCCCGGCAAAGCATCGTCTTCTTTTTCTTCCTTCCTTCCTTCCTTCCTTCCTTCCTTCCTTCCTTCCTTCCTT